TATATATATGTACACACACACACACATACAGTAGTCAACATTTGAAGTGGATCAAAAAAGTTAATCAAAGTAGTATATATATTGCTGCTGTCAAGGAATGTTTAGTTCATTGTTTGTAATTTGCTTTAATGTGTAAAAACACACACACACACACACACACACATATATATGCGCTTATTATATGCTTATTTTTTCTGTTCAGTTTTTTCTGAATGAAATTAATATGTTTGTTTATCAAGAATGCATTGAATTGCTCAAAAGTAACCGTTAAGAATTTTTACATTCTTAAAAATCAATTTCAAATAAATGCTGTTCTTTAAAATAATTTTTTTTTAAAGCATATAAAATCTGTCATAATTTCTACAGAACTGTTTTCAACATAGATAATAATAAAAAACATGTTTCTTGAGCACTAAATCAACTTATTAATCAGCATATAAATTATTTCTGAAGGATCATGTAACCCTGAAGACTGGAGTAATGCTGCTTAAAATTCAGCTTTGAATCATAGGGAAAAAAATGACATTTTAAAACATATTCATGGGAAAACATATGTACAGAATGTCATAAGGGCATCAGTAGTCATAACTGGGAGTTTGACTGGAAAACAAAAAATAGGTTTTTTAGAACACCATTGATGATATCAAAATTTGTTAGCAGTCCATAAACAGAGAAATGTTGGAGTGGGTGTGGGAAGGTAGGAGATCACGCATATATTTTGGGAATGTCTGAAAATATCTACATTTTGGCTCAACCAACATAGGTTGAGATTAGGAAAATTCTGTTTGTAGACCTGCCTTTTACTCCCCTGTTTTTCTAGCTTGAAGGGATACCCCAGGATTTATGTAGTAAAAACCAGAGATGTATACTGCATATACTCTTATTAAGTGCAAGAAAAACCATAACAATTAACTGGATGAAGCCACACCCTCCAAAACTGCCCAGTGGATAGAACAACTTGAATCTATTTATAGAATGGAATATATGACTGCTCAACTCCAACTGAAACTGGACATTTTTATACAAAGGTGGACACCTGTTACTTTGTATCTGGACGCATTGAAAATGAACTGCTCAGTAAGGAACCTTGATTTATTCCCTGTTGTATTATTTGACAAGGTTGTATGTGTTTTCTTTCTACTCCTCTTATTTATTTGTTTTTTGTGTTTCTTTGAGTCACTGCTGCTGTCAAGGAATGTTGAGTTCATTGTTTGTAATTTGCTTTAATGTATAAAAGTAAAGTAAAAAAAAGCATATTCAAATAGAAAACAGTTATTTTAAATTGTAATAATATTTCACAGTATTACTATTTTTACTGTATTTTTTTTAATCAAATAAATGCAGCCTCTTTGAGCATTAGACTTCCTTCAAAAACATAACATTTTCTGACTTACTCTACATTTTCCAAATTTTGGGATGTTGTATATATAATTAATAATTATGTTTTGTGTATATAATAATAATTTTATGTGTTGTTTATTTCTATTTATTTAATTAACTAGTTATTATAATAAATCAACTACTGTTTATAGTAGTTATGATCTACTATATATACTATGATGTATAGTCATATGATCCGTATTTAGTGTACTTACAGACTATACTATACTTGTATAGTTTATGCTACCTGTGCGCTCTATTCCAAGTATTCTGAAACTTTTTGGTAGAAATGTGTGAGGAGCAGACTGAAATGTAATGAATTATTCACTCAAAATGTTGCCTTCTGTCAGTGCTTTCAAACATTTTCAGCTGCTGGTAGGTTCAGTTGAGTATGTAGTTATAACTAGCACTAACTGAAAGCCTTATGTCTCTGTTCTCTCTGCAGAAGAAGGGTGTGAAGCGTAAAGCCGACACCACCACTCCCACCACACTCGGCTTCCCCGTGACCGCAGCTGCTCGGATGGGAGGCATGGGGAAAGGTCACGGATCAGCCGGAGAGATGCCCCACTCGCTCTCCTCAATGCCCGTGGATTGTTCACCCAGCATGGGCGTGAACGAGCCCACCCACCTGCAGCCCCTCCTTGGGCGTCCGCTGTCCCGTCGTCCAATCAAACCTCCCCGTAAGGACCTGCCCGACTCCGTGCGGCCCCATCAGCCCTCGCGGCGGGGGAAACTAAGCAAGCAGCTTCGCTACTGCAGCGGCGTCCTTAAAGAACTGCTGTGCAAAAAACACGCGGCGTACGCCTGGCCCTTCTACAAACCCGTGGACGCGTCGACGCTGGGCCTGCAAGACTACCACGACATCATCAAACACCCCATGGACCTCAGCACCATCAAGGTGACTTGCATGAACTACACGCACACAGTACTGGTGCTGTTTGGATGGTCATGTATACATGGTTCCGCTGCAGGTTTGTGGCTCTGGAAAAGTCCTGGTAGCATTAAAGCAATCTGAGGTGATGTAATACGGCGCCTGTGTTTTGTGTTCCTCAGAGGAAGATGGATGAGCGCGAGTACAGAGACGCCCAGCAGTTTAGCGCTGATGTCAGACTCATGTTCTCCAACTGCTACAAGTACAACCCACCTGATCATGACGTGGTCGCCATGGCACGAAAACTGCAGGTACATGGACTGCCTCTGCTGTTTTGTATAAAGATACACCGATATAGAGATGCTTAATTCTGCTTAAATGCTAAATCCGAATTGATCCTAAAATAGGCTTCTGTTTTTGTGTAAAATGTTAAAACATCTAAACTGGACATGTTAGAGACAGTTTTCATGACATTCAACCTATGTAGTAATTGTTTTGGCTGATAGAATGATTTATATATTAATAATATTTATTTTTTAAATATATATTAGTAGTATTAGTATTACTGATTTAGTGTGTTAAATATAATTTTTTTTAATTTAATTTGGAGAAAATGAAGCTTGATATTATTTGCTTCTAATATCAGCCTAGTCAAACTGAGATTGATTTAAAAGTTATCTTAAATACAATTTAAAATAATAATATCATTATCATATAATATCAGTTATACTCATTTTAATATTTCACATTCTTTTTTTTATTTGATTGGAGAAAATGAAATGAATTATTTGCTTTTAAAATCAGCCTAGTCAAGCTGAGAGCGATTTAAAAAAAAATGTTTTAAATATAATAAAAAAAACAAAAAACACATTTTATTATTTTTTTTATTTAGATAATGGCAGTTATTTTTATTATTATTTTTATTGTTATTATTCATTGAAATATTAATTTTTTTATTTGATAGTTAAACTGAGTGTTTTATATATATATATAATAAAAAAAATGATGTAAACATTAAAAAAAATTATTTTAAGATTCTAGATAATATCAATTAGTTTTATGTTTTATATTTGTTCTTGTTATTGCTCATTTTAATGTTTTAAATTTTAAATCATTGTAATAAAATTAAAATGTTTTTTTTTTTATTGGAAAAAAATAAATTATTATATTAGCTGCCTAGTCAAATAATTGTAAAATAAATATAAAAATAGCAAAATTTATAAAAAATAAAATATTAAGTAATTAGATAATAAAAATATATTTATTATTATGACAGAAATATTTTACATTTCCTAAAAAGTTGTTTATATTTGTTAGCAGTTTTAATAGGATTGTCTTTCTACAGATGTAATATTTTAATATTCTTCCCTTTCTCTTTCCACAGGACGTGTTTGAGTTCCGCTTCGCAAAGATGCCTGACGAGGTTTCAGAGGAGGAGGAATTGTCTCCCATGCCATTAGGCCGGAACATGGGCATGCTGGGAATGCACCACTCCTCCTCTTCATCCTCCTCTTCCTCCTCCTCCTCCTCCTCTTCCTCCTCGTCGGAGAGCGAGCCGAGCAGCGACAGCAGCCCGAGCTCTGACAGCGAGGAGGAGAGGGCTCAACGCCTGGCCCAGCTGCAGGACCAGGTGTGTACTCAGGTACACAGACCTTCCTGTTACGCTCTACTTCATACATGCACATGAAGATGAATTCAAAGACCCTTTTACTTTGATAAATCTCTCTAGTCTTACTGTGCACGATTCATCCATTCACACATCCTTATAATAACTCGCATGTTAATCTAAAGAAAAAGTGTCATGGCTATGACTGTCATAACGTGATAGTAGCTTTGATCTTTTAACGTGTAGTATATGTCTGTGTTTTAGCTCAAAGCGGTACATGAGCAGCTGGCAGCCCTCTCCTCCGGCCCGATTGTCAAACCTAAAAGGAAACGAGAGAAAAAGAAAGACAAGAAGAAGAAAAAGAAGCCAGAGAAACGCAGAGGAAGTCGAAGTTTGATGAGTGATGAGCGGGACAAGCCTGTCAAACTGCCTAAAAGCAAATCCAGCCGTGCTTCACTGTCATCCACACAGAGCAAGAAAGGCCCTGCGAAGAAAAGCAGCAAGAACAAGTTTGTATTTTTCACTTCGCTTGTTCTTGTTGGGAGTGGAGTAGCTAATATGGATGGGAATTTAATTATTCCGCCCTAAAGAGTTTGTCCAAACTAGTGTTGTTACTTAACTAAGACTAAAAATAATAAAAAATCATTTTTTGCTAATCAAAATAAATCTGAAATACAATACAAAAATAAATATTCGATGATTTAAAAAAAAAAAAATAGAAATGTTGCCTTGTCAACTAACTGAAATAAGTTTAAGTTGAAGTACTAAAATTATTAAAACTGAAACAAAAATAAAGTTATATAGAAATATAAAAAAATGACTAAAACAAAAATTCTGTTGTCATTTTTTGCTAATCAAAATAAATCTGAAATACAATACAAAAATAAATATTAGATGATTTAATAAAAAATATAGAAATGTTGCCTTGTCAACTAACTGAAATAAGTTTAAGTTGAAGTACTAAAATTATTAAAACTGAAACAAAAATAAAGTTATATAGAAATATAAAAAAATGACTAAAACAAAAATTCTGTTATTAAAAATTCTGTTATTTTAATGAATAATAAATCATAATAATTTAATAAAAATACATTCTTTAATACATTCAACTTTACATATTTCATTTTTAAAGTACCATTTATTGCAACAAAAAACAATTTAGTTAAATGTTATAAACAACCAGTTTTTGACACCGATTCTGACCAATTCAGTTTGTGAGTTGTTGGATTAATTCAGTAGACTGATTCAACACAATAACCTGAGATGCTGAAGTACCATAGTAGCATTTAGTTAAGATCTAAACTGGTAACTAAAACGTTTTCATAAGGAGCAACATATCTTCACTTTAACCAGTAGCTTCACCCTCCCTCTGTTCAGCATTACAAGTCTCTTTTATTTGATTTACTCTGGCAGGAACACAAAGAAATCATCCTCGTCTCGTTTCGCAGCTGCCGCTGCCATCTCCTTACCGCACTACGACTCTGAGGAGGAAGAAGACGGTCTTCCCATGAGTTACGACGACAAGCGGCAGCTCAGCCTGGACATCAACAAGCTGCCCGGGGAGAAACTGGGCCGTGTGGTGCACATCATCCAGTCGCGGGAGCCCTCGCTGCGCGACACCAACCCTGAGGAGATCGAAATCGATTTTGAAACACTGAAGCCGTCCACGCTGCGTGAGCTGGAGCGATATGTGATGACCTGCCTGCGCAAGAAGCCTCGCAATCCGTACGGTGAGCAGAGATTTAGTGCTTGCTACCTATGACATAAATCTAGAAAATATCTACATATCATGGCCGTTATATATATATATCCACACACACACACACACACACACACACATTATATATATATATTTTATATATATAATTCATCTTCAGATTATTTATTTGTAATTTAGTAAATATGATGAAATATACTTTAAATTTACGTTTTTACTTTATTTTTGCTGTCAAACGATTAATTGCGATTTATTGCATACAAAATAAAAGTTTTTGTTTGCATTATATATGTGCGTGTTCTCTGTATATTCATTATGTATATATATAAATGCACACACATACCATATATATTCTGAAAATATTTACATGTATTTGCATGTCTATATTTATATTCATATGATTTAAATTGTAAATAAATATATTTAATATATTAAAAAAAATTTCTGAAATATACACATGCATGTGTGTGTATTTATATATACATAATAAATATACACAGCACACATACATATATTATGTAAACAAAAACTTGTTTGGGATTTGATTAATCGCGATTAATCATTTGACAGCACTAATATATACATAATAGTGTAAAAATATGGCATCGACCATCAACAACAACAAAAAAAATCAATACTGGTTATAAATCAACAGTAGTTATAATGCATGTTTTAGCTAGAATTATTTGTTGTGCGATGCATCAAGTGTAATCTAGATCTATCCTGTGTGCAGTGGTGAAGAAGGGAGGAGGTGGGAAAAGCCGAGAGGAACTGGGTCTGGAGAAGAAGAGGGAACTGGAGAGGAGGTTACAGGATGTGAGCGGACAGCTGAACTCTGCCAAGAAACCCCAGAAACCCAAAGGTAGGGCTGAGAGCAGCTTCTGAAGCACTCTTCAGTTTGCTCTATTACGTCTTTGTGTTCAGGCCTCAACAATAAGTTCGGTCTGATGGCCTGAGGCTGGTGTAATCGAGGTTCAGGCCAGTGTTGCCTTTATGGGATCGATTTGTTTTGTGTATAGCGCTGATGTTGAACAAGCAGACCACAATAGAGCGAGCACAGGTGAAAACAGTACACATAAGATGAGATCTTATGCTCAATAACTACTAGAAAGGAAAAAAAATGCAACAGACATGCTGCAAGATACTTGGGGCTGCATGATTAATCAAAATAAAGCCAAAAATCGTGATGATTATGGCTTCGTGATTATGGTGTTTTCAGCAGCTAAGAGCGACTTGGTTCACAATTAATTCCACTCCACACAAACTTGCAATTTGGGAAAGAAACATGCGCCAACCATCTTCCCTTGTAATGAGAAGTGCTTATAAACCAGCTGTTGTCAACAGAAGAAAAGGCTTTAAGGGCTTCCTGTGATTTTACAACAAAATAAAAAAGCTTGACGGTTTAACATTTAAAAATGAAAAAATTAAGACCGCGATAAATATTAGTATTGTAATGCTACCGGTATTGTAACATAAATTATAAATTCTTATTATTAAGTAAATTATTTGAAAACGGCACATATTGCGGTAGTAAAAAAAAATAAAAATTATAATATATGATTTAGGTACGCAACATTGCACGAACAAAATGTTTCAACACGATTGCAATGTGATTTTATACAATAGTAGTTCAAGAAACAAGAAGTTAAAATTAAGCGACTTACATTTTAGATGCAATATTGACTGTTTTTGCTCAATTTCGCTGATGAAAATAGTTCCAATCAAAGCCACAGCAGAACTGTTTTGTGTCTCCGAGCAACACGGCGGTGTTTCGTTACTGAATGAATCCACGTTTTTGAACGAATTAAGTGAGTCAATGATTCAGTAATCCATTCATTAAGACAGTAGTCACTTGCCTCGTTTCTGAATGAATCATCCGTTTGAACGAATCTGCTGCATCTGTTGACTAAATGACTCACTCATTCAAACAGTCATGTGCCGCCACCTACTGGTTTGGTTTCATATTTAAAACTATCATTGCATTTTCCCCAACATTTTTTATTTGTATTTATAAAAATATGTAAAACAGTAATCAAAAAAAAATAAAAATTATAATATATGATTTAGGTACGCAACATTGCACGAACAAAATGTTTCAACACGATTGCAATGTGATTTTATACAATAGTAGTTCAAGAAACAAGAAGTTAAAATTAAGCGACTTACATTTTAGATGCAATATTGACTGTTTTTGCTCAATTTCGCTGATGAAAATAGTTCCAATCAAAGCCACAGCAACGAATCTGCTGCATCTGTTGACTAAATGACTCACTCATTCAAACAGTCATGTGCCGCCACCTACTGGTTTGGTTTCATATTTAAAACTATCATTGCATTTTCCCCAACATTTTTTATTTGTATGTTTAAAAAATATATAAAAATTAATCTTATAAAATGAATTAATTGAAACAATGTAAGAATTCGATGTGAAAGATGACTCATTTAGTAAGGTTAGTGAAAAATGACAATTTAAGAAACCGTGGGAAATGACATCTGTTTTGTTATATACAGCAACTACTTTTCAGTTAATTGTTATTTCTATCCCTTTTCTAGTCACAGAGCACTTTATTTCGAGAGTTGTTTAAGTTGTTTAAGTGAGAGAACATCTGTAACTTTGTCCAGAGTGGGGTAATTGTAAAGTTAAATTTATGTAAATAATTTTTTGCATTAAAAAAGTATAGATTTTTGTTTGTATATGCTGTCAATTATAGTTTTTAGAAAGAAAATCGGAATCGGCAAAAATCGGTATCGGCAGGTCACACTTACAAAAAAAATCGGAAATCAGAATCGGCCAAGAAAATTGAAATCGGTGCATCTCTAAAAACAACGAATATTTTAATTGTATTAAAAATAAGAAATAGTACAAAGTAATTATTACTATTATTAAATAAATTATTTGGAAAAATTAATATTTTAATCGTATTAAAAATAAGAAACTACAAAATTATAGAAAATATTAAAAGTATTTATTATTATTATTAAATACTTTTTTTGTTAATTGTATTGCAGTAGTAATTTTTCTTCTTTGGTTTAATTATTTATTTTTTAAACCAGTTTTATAAGTTATTTGCTAAAAATAACAACAACAATAATAATAAGTTATTATTATAGTCATATTGATATATACCTGTTTTTTTTCCAAATCACATTTTAAATCATAATCACGTTTTTTTGTTTTTTAATTAGAAAAATTTCAGTTAAAGTTAGTTTTTTCCCAAATCATTTAGCCCTACAAATGCTCCAGTATAATATTGAATATTGAAGTAATATTGAATTACTCTCAAAGGTGCAGACCGATTGTATAATGTATACGTCCTGTAGGGATTTATATAAAATTATAGCGTAAATCCAGTAAGAAGTTAAGTTTTTAGCCACTTACATATTTTTACTGTACATATTTTTATTATTACAACTCTTGTATTCTTATCTATTATAAACCTTATTGAAAATGATTTAGCCTTTTGAGAACAAGCTATTTGTTTTTAGTCATTTGTCTTATGTCTATTTTAAAAATATAAAACCTACTTCCAGTATTCAAAAATATTTTTCATTGTTGTCTTTTATCTGGACAACCGACCCAGCCAAGTCAACAGCAAAACTCACTGTTGTTGAGCCCTGCCGAGTTACACCCGCAAAACCAGTTTCCTTCACGAGTGAAAACCGGTTTGGCTTTTCTCTTCCAGTGGAGAAGCCCAGCGGCGCGGAGCCTCACGCCATGGCCTCGCGTCTCAGCGCCAGCAGCTCCAGCTCAGGCTCCTCCTCATCGTCCTCCTCCTCCTCCTCATCTGACACCAGTGACTCGGACTCCAGGTGAAGAGGACTCTGGGAAGGCACAGGAAGCGGGCTCTCTGGGGCGCATTCATAGCTGCGGCCTGCCGTACAGACACCTTGTTTTCCGTGCCTCCTCAATCCAGGAACTATGTTTACTTCAGTGTAAAAAAAAAATGTATATATTAGGATTTTTTTTCTTTTATAAAGAAGGCTTTTACCAAGATGCCCATAATGGGAAAGAGTGCGTAATCATAACTACTTTTCTTAGTTGACGAAATAGCTTGTTGTTTTGTTTTGCTTCCATTTTGACAGTTTAATTGAGTCTTGAAACATTTCTTGCTTCTTTTTGCATTGCTTTAAAGATCAGGGCCAGTATTTAGATCTCTTTGAGCAACCAAAACTTGCATGAAGGTTTATAAAGGACCTTCAATGGGGAAATGAGAAAGAAAATGAAGAACTGCTTTGCATTTGCATTGGCTTTAAAACATTTAGGTTTTCACGCCGCGATGCACTGGACTTTTTTTGGGATTTGTTATGTACGTATGATATTATTCTTTCCATATGGCTTCGCAATTTGCTCTCTAGTTTCATTTTGCTATTGCTTTGATCTGTAAGAAATGGATTTAATTTGACGTTTTTTACATGATCGAATCAATGTCAAAGGACACTTTTTGTCATAAATCTGTCTGATTAGGCATCTGTGCAATTGTGATAATATTCATTGAAAATAACAGCCATAACGCCTCACCGGACTGGAGGAGATGGACTGGATTGGTTCATGAGCGCTAGAGAAACGCTGCTAGATTGAGTGGTTTGAATTAGTTATTTAAGTTGAATGTTAACTTGAGAGATCTGGTTTGTAGACGAGACTAAAGGAATCGCATTTAAGCAATAGACTGTCATTTATTTCTTGTATATAGAGTCCATGATACCATGCTGCTTTCTCGTTTGTATTTATTTGCATTGCTCTAACCTCTCTTTTCTAGAATATTCTTTTTGTGTATATAAGACACATGGCAGATCATTGTGACCTAATATTCCCTATCTGCAGTATAATTAAGAGTTTATGCGCTCCGGATTATACGTTGGTTTTTATTTGGATGGAAATACAAATACAACAAGTGAATGGTGTGAAGTGGTGTTTCAATATTTTATTTCATATTTTTGTTGGTGCAGCTCAGCAGCCTTGCAAAACAGGATATACTAGGTTGAACAATGTGGGTGTTTAAATAGTGTTTACAAGTAAACTCAAAAAAACAGCACGAGTGCTTTCGGTTTAGCACAAGGACATGAAGAAGTTCTGATTGCTGGTATTTTATGAGCGCAAGGTTTCTACAGTCTCAGAAAACATTTAAATATCAGGGGATTTTTTTGGGGGGGAAATTTGTGCTGTAAATGATCTCAATGGCAATTTACATAACTAATCCAACTGTCAACTATCCTACCAAATTTAATAAGAAGCGCTTATAAACCAGCTTTTGTCAACAAAAGAGAAGCTTTAAGGACTTCCTGTGATTTCCCCCCCCCCCCCCCA